AAGTATGGGGTTTGAACGATAAAGAGTGTATCTTTTAAAAAATTTTAACATCGAATCAAATCATGCATCCATTTGCCTCTCAGAGCTCCGCAAAGTTTGCCAATTTCACCATTTTTCGAACTTTAAGGTCCTTTTGCTAAGAATCCTTGCGTCGGGGAACTTTTTGGAAAACGCAGTTTAACTTGGGAATTCGTAACGAATCCAAAAATATAGCATCCATCGAGGTAAATTTAAAAAGCACTAAAAATGCTGCACAGTGTAATTAATATTTTAAGAATTGGTTGCTCTTAAAATTTCAATCGTTACATATACAACTTAGGCCCTTGGGCGCTTTCAGAAAAATTTCAAAGATGTGTAAAAATACCTTTTTTTCTTATTGGCTAAAATTATGTTTCGAAAAATCCACTTTATAAATCTGTAGTGGGAGAACCATTCATCACAGATCACTCTTTCCTTTGGATTTGTATAGAGAAATGAATTGTTTTTAAAGTTGCATTGCAACATTTTGGAAAATCTTAAAAAAAAAAAACCATTTTGGCAGGCTTTTTGTTCTAGGCGCCCCACAGTGCGCCGTCAATATATACACGGATGGCTCCAAGCTTAACTTGCAAACAGGAGGGGGAGTTTTCTCGCCTGAACTAGACATAAAAGTCTCTTTTTGGATACAACAAATCACTACATCACCGACATCTTCATATTTTCGGACAGTTAAGCAGCCCTCAGGGCCCTCGACTCCTATTCAACTGACTCACTTACTATCTCTGAATGCCGCAAATCTCTGAACGAGATGGCCACTCATCTCAGAATCAACTGCATAGCGGACGAACTAGCAAGACAAGGGACAACCACCGCCATCCTTCGCGTTAAGGACACGGTGGGCATGCCCATAGCTACCGGCAAGCTTCTCCTCAAGCAAAGATTCTATACCCTCTCCAACAACCGTTGGAATACGATCTCAACATATCACACCTCCAGGCTCACCTGGGGTAATTATAACCCGAAAATAACCAAACCCTTTTACAATGCAACAGGGCAGACATTTCCCTCTTAATTAATGCCCTCACGGGCCACTGTCTTCTATGCTTCTGCCCAGCTCACAACCTCAAATGCTTTCAAACACTAGGAAGCTACACGCTTCCGAACCTTGCCCCCATACAAGGAACAAGCATCCCAAAACTCCTTTGTTTTCTGAAAAGAATTAACTGGTTTGAGAAACTAATAACCCATGACCTAGGGAAATGGATCTATTCGGAGATCATGGGGTATCACAAGGTGCCCAAGGCGGCCTAAGTGAGGGGATTATTTTATAATCCCCAACCATGCTCACCTAACCTAACCTAACCTACTGGTTTACTGTTAGACTGGTTTGAAAAGTATGTTGACATTTTGAAACGTTCCTCGAAGGCTTTGCAAATAACTTCAAAATGATGTAGGCTATAGCCAAAAGAACAGCCATTACGATGATACCAGTCTCACTCCAATGGCTCTTTATTTATAGCTGCTATGTCTAACCAAACTTTTACTACTATTTGAGCCCCCTTCTTCCTTGCTATAGGCATGGCCGGCTTGTAATGTGGTCCGGACATAAATTATTACGAAATTATTATACTTTTCCAAACTTGTAACGCAAAACGTTTACTGCGTTAAAATGCGGTTCATGTATAAAAAATAAAAATATTCTTTCCTCACGTAGAAATTGAACAAGGATATTGATGGAAAGGCTAACCGCTCGGCCATTGTCTGTGCTTTTTTTAGTTCGTTAAACTATACTCAAAACAAGTATTCTTACTATTGAAGTGCCGAAGCTTAAACGTGTCGGAGGGGAAACGAAAACATTAACATATAGGCAATACTTTTTAGGTGTGTTTGTGATTTTTAACGAAATTAAATCGTTAATAGCCTATTCACATTACAATATTTTTTGGGGGAACGTGATGGGAGGATGGTGGAAAAATGAAATAAGGTTCACACATACCGTCTATCGTTTGCCTTCTAAATTTTCGATGTCTAATGTCAATGTGAATAAAACAGGGACCGTAAATAATCATTATTTGAGATTTTTATTTTAAAAAGACTACTGTGATATTTTGATTTAAACGTCAAAAACCACGTTCTTTTTCCTCTTGTCCACAAAGTATATGCATTTCAACAAATCTGGAAAGCAAATTAACTGTTATTTGTTCATGTCTATAAAGTGCATAAAAACCAGTTAAATTGTTGATTAAAACTTGTAAAAACCTCAGTAAGCCTTTTAAAATAAAAATCTCAAATAATGATTATTTACGGTCCTTGGAATAAAATAAAACATGAATATTTTATTGAATGTGGAACTTATATTTGTTGAAGTCCTAGAATTCGATAAAGAAATGGACGATGCGGATATGAGTCATTTTGTTTTAAAAATATATATCGAGTATTACTATAAAAGAGTAGATGTCGATTTGCGTCATGTTCCCCCAGCCCAGCCCCGGCCCCTAAGGACTCCCAGGACTCTCGAAAAATGCGAAATTGCTTGATTAAAACATCAACCATTCCCACAGTTTTCAACCAAACAAGTTGATATATATACCTCTTACTCGTAGAGTAAAAGGGTTTATTGTATTCGTGCAAAAGTATGTAACAGCTACACACATAAAAATTTGCTTGGTAAAATTGACAAACAAAGATAGTTACGCGACTATTAAAATAGTTACGTGTATTTTGTTTTTGCTTTGGGTTTGTGTCTTTGCTAATTGTGTGTATTTTGTTGTTGTGAAATGACTATTTACTTAGTAGAATTGACAATTTTTCTGGTTGGGGCCTGTTTGACAATTATTACAGTTGATTTTACCAAGTTTTTTTTTTTTTTGTGTAGAAGGATGCGTTTCCGACCCCATAAAGTATATATATTCTTGATCAGGGTCAAGTCGATCTAGCCATGTCCGTCTGTCCGTCTCTCCGTCTGTATGAACGCTGAGATCTCGGAAACTACAAAAGCTAGAAGGTTAAGATTTTCCACACATATTCTTGGGCCTCCTACGCAGCACAAGTTTATCGCCCACTAACGATTTTAAAACATCTTTAAAGATTTCCGAGAAGTGTAAATGCAATTTTGTTGTGTATATTTATACTTATCGAAAAGTAGAAGACAGTTTTCAAAATTGTTTATATATCTATCTCCATCGCACTCCCTTTAGCTGAGTTACGATTATAAGATAGTCGGGACACCATCCCGAATACGGCGTTCGCACTCCCTTTAGCTGAGTGACGGGCATTAGATAGTCGGGACACCAACCCGACTATAGCGTTCTCTCTTGTTTTATTTCAAGCTTTGTTTGTGGAAATTTTTGAAAGCCCAGAAGATGAGCCCCAACCGGAAGTCGGTTGGGGCACTTAATTAATTTTTCCGCACCGATTATGCGATCGGATCCATTTTTGGTTTGAATTATGGGGCTATGCCATACAATCAGTAAGGTGTTTTTATACCCTTGCAGATGGTATTATGATGAGGTATCTCTCTACACTGACGGCTCCAAGATGGCCTGTGGTGTAGGGTCTGGAATTTTCGCTGAAAGCTGGGGGATAGAATCGAAATTCCACCTCCCAGAATCAGCGACAGTTTTTCAGGCTGAGGTACTTGCTATTTTAGAAGCAGCCAAGCTTTCGATTCAGCAATGCCTCAGGAATACCAAGGTACGGATATACTCTGATAGCCAAGCGGCTATCAAATCTCTCGCACCAGTAAGAACCAACTCGACACTAGTAGCCGATTGTAAGTCGGCTCTTAACATACTAGCAACAAACAATCATGTACAGATAACATGGGTGCCAGGGCACAACGACATACCAGGAAACGAAAAGGCGGATGAAATTGCACGAATGGGGTCGGCAGACGACTCCTATACAAATAGTCTACCTGAATCCCTAAATACAGCCCAAGCATGTATTCACGAACACTACAAAACACAAGCTAGTAAAAGTTGGTCGGAAAAGCAGGGTCTCAGGAGATCAAAACTCTGCTGGCCAACCATCAATAGCAAGAGAATTTGAGAGCTAATAACCAAAAGCAAAAGGGATATTAGAAGGATCACGGAACTCATCACAGGCCATTTAAAAATCTTCATTTGTGAACAGTGTTTAAAAATTAAATAAAAATATTTTCTTCTACGATGCATTTTTGATCCAAAGACACCTTATGTCCTTAATTTTTTAAATTTTTTTAATTTATCGAAATAAAATGGTGGCAGGCCTGGACACCGACCCATGTCACATTTTGTCGGCCTGTGTAATCCGTACAATATTACCAGGAGATGATACATTACAAAAACAAACTTTTAAAAACACGGGCGGCAACACTACTACTATTTTGACCGGAGCTGCATGCTTTTATGTTTTTTGACTATGTTTTCCCAAATTTGTTTTCCCTTAAAAAAAAATCCGAAAATTATTCTAAGTATGGGGCTTAAAAAATAAAGAGTGTATCTTTTGAAAAAAGGTGGCCAATTCCAGCATTTTTCAAACTTTGAAAAAAAATTCGTAACGAACTCAACAATCGAGCTAAATTTAAAAAGCATTAATTTGTTGCACAGTGTAATTTATGTCGAAAAATTAAAAAATAAAAGTCCGATTTTTAGAGGATACGACCACAGCCCAAACCCAAAATTTCTGCGGAATGATTTTCGTTTATAAGTCAGTCCTGTGGATTAAATGCTTAGGTTTTATATTCAAAAAGTATTTTTCTTTTTCTAGCAGAAGTAAGAGCCCTAATAAATTTCCGCTTTGGAAGGAAATAAAAAATTACTAAAAATGTTTCCAAGTTAATTATTAATCTTAAGATTCGAACTTTCGATCGAATCAATAAATCTTGCCGAAGAGCTCTTGTTAACTTCGCTATAAACAATATATAGTTGTACTATTTGCAAGCTAATACAGATAAATGATTATTCGCTCAAACCCCGCGATCGAACTTGTTTCCGAACTCACGTTCCATAGTTTATGAGTAAAGAAAATAAGAAGTGGTGTTTGCTGTTTAAATAATTGAATACTATATATTTGCCTTTGAAAATTGTACACATAATAAATGCATTTAAATTAATTTAGAAATTAAACTAGTCGGTCTATAGACCGCAAAGCGCACCGGAAATAAACAATTTATATGACATTTGCCGTGATTTCCGAAAGATCGAATAGTTACATTAGCATATAAGTTTTTACAGTGTACCTACTTTTATTAATTTTTACAAAATCTCTTTTTTTACTTACTGTCTAACTTTTATTTTATTAGCTTTCTTTTATGTTTCTATAATTTACACAAGTCTTGTGGGTAGGTTCGTGATTTGTTTATGCTCGATAGTAATTTTTCAGTGTCAGACAGTGTTTTATCATGCGGTGTTTGATCGTGTCTTGCTGGAAATGTGTAGTCAGGGGGCCAAAGCTGGCAAACCGTTGGTGCAATGGAAAGTTGGAAAGTTTAGAATTTGTGCAGAAAGTTGAGAAATACATAAGGACATATTCCGAAGCTTAATATTATTAAATACTTTTAAATATTGTTTTAACCTTTTGCTTAATTTTATCCTGTTATCTTTTTTCCTTGATAAAAACTTTTCAAATTTTTGCACAAACATTTTAAACATTGTTTGTGTGGATTGTGTGCCTGTTTGGTTTTCTTTTTTTAATGTTTTGCTATTTAAACTAATTTTTCTGTGTATGTGATGGGTGTAAAGTGTCTTGTCTTGTTTATATTAAACGCTACTTCCAACACGCCTATTGTTTTCCTATGTATATATCCGGCTGTTTAAAATTATTTTATCTTTGCTGCTGCTTTTTTAAACTACTACGAAGCTACTACGTTTAACTCTTAGGAAGTGTTCGGGTGATACTAATGCGCATTAAACTTAAAAGGAACATATACATGATTATCCGTTAATATTAATTATAAATACGATTTATTTTATTTCTATTATATCCATAGTGCTTTCTTTTATAGTCAGAGTCATTTGTTTGCGGGTAGTACGTTTCCATAAATTAAAGTTAGCTTTAAGAACTGAATACTCGCATCTGCGTGTCTATAAATAGTTGAATATTTAATCACAAATCATTGATGAAAACTTCATTTTACTTGGTTTAGGCGTAGACGCTCTGCACGCTATCTTGGTCCGTTAAATTCCGTTCAATTTTATCATCTTCTACCTCAGTCGAGGTTTTTCCTACGTAATTTCGCCTAACGTGTCGTTTCCATCTATAGCAAACAATCTATGTCTATAAGTTTATACACAGAAAATGTACAGTGGGACTTAAGTAGTGTAAGTGTAGGCTCTTATAGGGTTTAGTTCAGGTTTAGTCAGGGGTAGGTTCACAGGCATGTACAGTTAGTTTGCAGATTTTCAGAGTTCTTCCCGAAAGATTACTACAAGTTAATTAAATATTATTCTAAGCTAGTTATTCGTATAGGTGTTACTCAATATAATTTTTCTTGCTTCGTTTTATAAACAAACTGTGTCGCTAAATGCTAGACCTTAAATTCGTCTTAATATTTTCTTTAATTTAACTCATTTGCTATCATATGCATGTTGTTCATTATTGATTTCTAAACTCGTATATTTACAAGGTGTTTCTTAAATTTTGCATTACTTAAATTGTTGGCATATTCTCGACCTTACTTTAAAAATGATTGGTAGGCGTCTTGATTTCGTTTTCGATTCGATTTGCTTCGTTTCTTGTTTGCTCAGTGGGTTAATTGTTGGGGCTTAATTGTTCCAACTCTTTGTTCATCTTTGACACTCTGTCCGCTTCGCCATAATTGGCGGTTTTTTTCACTTGGTAGATCCAACATCTCACTAGTTCCTTTGCATAGTTCATCAATCTCAGTGAAGACGATCTATCTGCAGACGATATAAACAAGATTACGGAAATGGTGTTAATTTAAAATCAAAATGGTTACAATAGGCTTTTTGTATCTATACACACAAAAAAATTTGCTTGGTAAAATTGACCAACAAAGATAGTAACGTAACTATTTAAGTAGTTACATGTATTTTGTTTTTGCTTTGCGTTTGTGTCTTTGCTAATTGTGTGTATTTTGTTGTTGTGGAATAACTATTTACTTAGTAGAATTGACAATTTTGCTGGTTGGGGCCTGTTTGACAATTATAACAGTTGATTTAACCAAGTTTTTTTTGTGTGTATATACTTTTCGACCCTATAAAGTGTGTATATATATTTTTACTATGTCCGTCTGTCTGTATGAACGCTTTGATCTCGGAAACTATAGAAGCTAGAAGTTTGACACTAAGCGTGCAGATTCTTGGGGGCCCTACGCAGCGCAAGACTGTTTCACCAAGGTGCCACGCTTCCTCTAACATCCACAAACCGCATAAAAACTGGCCCAAAGTTTTGATGCTAAAATCAAAATGTAAACTTTAATGTATTTGTTTCGTCAATACCTATCGATTGAATTTAAAAAAGTTTGCCACGCCCACGCCCTTAACGCAAAAACCCAAATTTCTTCCTTGCATACCACTGCAGCCATGGTTGCTGCTAGGCGGCGCCGTCGTAAAAATTCTTGCTTTACTGTTGGTTAGTTGAGTAACACAAAAAAAAACTTTGTAAAATCAATCTAGAACAAGAAAATAACCCTTGCAGATCATTCCTATTAATTTACAAATCGCAAAAATTTTACATTTCCTTTTATTTTACATTAATTTTCCGGTCGTTTCTATATCAGCTATCACTATGGACGGCAGTCCACGTAGTGACGAAGCGCACCAGGAGAGTGTGCGAAGGCGACTACTATTATATAGCCGCAAAATTGAAAATCTGCTGTGATAGTCCGATCGTGTGTCCCGACTATCTAATACCCGTCACTCAGCTTAAGGGAGTGCGAACGCTGTACTCGGGTTGGTGTCCCGACTAATAATCGTAACTCAGCTAAAGGGAGTGCGAGGGAGATAGATATATAATTTTTGATTGCGTATAACTTTTTAATGAATGGTCCGATTTGAAAAATGTCTTCTACATTTCGATAGGTATAAATATACACAACAAAATTGCATTTATACTTCTCGGAAATCTTTAAAGATGTGGGCGCAGGACCCATTTTAAAATCGTTAGTGGGCGATTGTGGGCGTTAGAGGGGGCGTGGCGCTCGGCTAAAATAAACTTGCGCTGCGTAGGAAGCCAAAGAATATGTGTGGGAAATCTCAACCTTCTAGCTTTTGTAGTTTCCGAGATCTCAGCGTTCATACAGACAGACAGACGGACAGACGGACATGGCTAGATCGACTCGGCTAGTGCCCCTGATCAAGAATATATATACTTTATGGGGTCGCAAACGCTTCCTTCTAGCTGTTACATACTTTTGCACGAATTTAATATACCCTTTTACTCTACGAGTAACGGGTATAAAAAGATATGAACAAAAGACAATTTTGTAAAACTTTTTTTTTAGATTTTTTTTATTTTTCTCTAAAACGGCTCGAATGATTTTCTTTAAAACTTTAAACTGTATAGCCCTTGAGATTCCTTAAATTTGGTATATAACACAATACTGTAAAAAGTCACGTTTAAAAGTTATTTTTATACGAAAATAGCCACTTTTGCCAGCTCAAACTACTAACGCTCCCTGAGTATTGAATTTGGTGTGAGGGTATCCGAACTGTATTTTAGGGTCATGGAATCAGTAAATTTGCACTTAAGAGTTCCATATAGAAATCTTTTGTTCTACGACTTTTGGAAAAAGCCGCTACTTTAGCGGGAAAAAGCTACAAATAGCTACATTTCGTTAGTTTGTAAGTTCTACACTACTAAAGGTACAGACATGTGCTATAACTCGTTTAAAAGGTATTTTGAAATACTTCAACGCCTTTTTAACTTAATTCGTTAAAATACAATAGTTTAAAAATTATGATTTATGACCAATTTAAATTTAAATGTTTATATTAGCACCTATGAGAGCAAAAGTAAACAAACAAAAACTTCTGATATCAAATAAAAACACCTCTTAACGAGGTAAAAAACTAGTGACGATCGCACCTTCAACGTACAAAAGTTCTGATATCAACTGTTGTGACGAAAAATGATTTTAGATGCGACTAAATAAGTACGCTACCTAAAATTTATTCATTCGGCACGCTACAACAGAAAACTTTCGTGTAGATATTTTTGCATGTATTTTGTTGTTTTATTTTTTGGGGCCTTGAATTGTGACACCACAATTAATATCGTAACACAACTATTTTGTTCCTTCATGTATTTTATTGTTTTAAAAGTACAATTAAAAATTGTATGGTGTGTTTCAAAATTATACGACACCAACACACTTATTTTTTGAAAATTTGTAGCGTCGTTGTTGTTTATAGAAAGCGAAACATTTAAATGCAGATCGAAAGAACAATGTATGATGTGTACGAAAATAAAATACCACGCGTCCTTGATCCTCTTTTTAAGGATTTACAGCTAATTTTTCGAAATATAGTATATTTTTCGTTTATGTGCGATCGTTTCATAATTATACGACACCATCGATTTTTTCCGGTTCCAATGATCAAACTTGACCGAAATTTTTTTTCTGGTTAAATATAAACTAAAAGGTTCCATTTTGATAGTAATCCAGCCCAAAGGTCCTTTCAATCTTCAACCAATACATAAATATTGAATATGTCTCTCTACACCTTAAAAAAGTAGTTTTTCGAAGACATATCCCACAATTCGTCTTAACTTTTGTCTGGTCAATATTCTTAGCACTTTTGAATCAAATAAAAATCCCTTTCAGTTCATTACGTGCACGAAACAGACCTAAAAAATCATTTTTAATAACTGCCCTTTTGGAACAAAACCTGTTTTATTCCAAAAACATTTGATTTTGGCCGTCACTTTTTTGTCAAAATGCAAAAATTTGTTCTTCAAAACCTTAATAAACTTTCCACATTTCACGATTGGAACATTTGAAATGCGATCCCCAGTCTGCGCCACTTTGAAGTTTTTTCGAAATTTTTTCATACGAATTTGAGTGTTTTCTCCATGGGATTTCATTAAGGGGGCGCAGACTGGGGATCGCATTCAAATGTTTCAATCGTGAAATGTGGAAAGTTTATTAAGGTTTTGAAAAAAATCAAATATTTTTGGAATAAAACAGTTTGGTTCCAAAAGGGCAATTCTTACGTGCACGTAATACTCTGAACAGGATTCTTATATGATTCAAAAGTGTTAAGAATATTGACCAGACAAAAGTTAAGACGAATTGGGGGATATGACTTCGAAAAAAAACTTTTTTTAAGGTATAGAGAGAAATATTCAATATTTATATATGGGCCGAAGATTAGAAGGATCAAAGATCCAGCCCAAAGCTGGATTACTCTCAAAATCGAATCTTTTAGTTTATATTTAACCAGAAAAAAAATTCGGGTAAGTTTGATCATTGGAACCGGAAAAAATCAATGGTGTCGTATAATTATGAAACACCTTAAAATTAAGATTTTATTATAAGTTATGCCACGGAGACAAATATTATATTGTTTTCACATGAAATTCTTTGTTTTGGTATAACGATTAAATACAAACACAATCACCTTAATACGACTTTTAATAAAAAAAATATTTAAGAAATTTATGGTGTCGTATAATTTTGAAACACACCATAGGTCAACTACTTTTCTGGACTTAGAGTGGTTAGAGTATCCGACTCATAATCTGCGGCTATATTATATATATTTTTAATATTTAATAATGAAGATGGATAAAAGACCTTCGACTTACCTCAAATCCATTCAACATGGGGTTTTCATCAATGATACCACAGCCTTTTTTTTTGTGCCCTCATGACACCGTTTGCCATTCCGCCGCCTCCCAGCTCATTGTCACTTTCGTCCTTGGCGCCTTCCCTTCCATTGCCGCTTTCCCCTATTGACCTGGTAATATTGCCCGAAGTTTCGCCCGCGGCAGCCGCTGCCTTTGCGCCGGTCCTCAGGTGTACGCCCACCACTTCCTCGGCGGAGACGACTCCTTCCACGGCCTTGAGGTGCTGGCGCTGCTGGTGGCCATCGCGCAGGTGCTTGCCTCCTGGGGCGTGCTTGCCGTTGTGCAGAGTCAGGCTGTACTTGGGCTTGCTGGGGCCGCTTTCGTATCCGCCCGCCATGTTGGCGACCAGGCTCAAGTGCTGCGGCTTCTTCGGCATGGTGGTACTGCCGGCTGGGGCTGCGGCGACCCGCTTCGGGGCCGCGGCCACCAACTTGAGCGAGGCTTCGAACTAGAGATTGTCGGGGTAGCTGCGGAAGTTATAGGTCCTGGCCCGCTGGAACTCCGCTGCAGCGGCCGCCGCGGAGGCCGAGGAGCTGTTCCCGCTGCTGTACGGATTGATCATGGGGGCGGTGGCCTTGGAGTTCATGGTGCCAATGCCGTCGTCGTAGATGCCGCTGTGGTCCTGTCCGCCTGTGCTGCAGTGGCTGCTGTGGCTGTGGCTGCTCTTGCCGCCGCCGCTGCTCACCGTGTTCGTGTTGCTGCTGCAGCCGCTGCGCTCCGAGCCCGGGCCCTTGAGCGGCTTGAAGATGGCCGTGGTGGCGTAGTACTTCTCCATGGGTGGCGGCGGAACTGTCGGCGGTCGCGGGAAAATACTGCTCAGCGGCGGCGGCGGAGTCCGACGGACGTTCACGTAGCCACCACCGCCAGCCGCTCCACCAGCCATTTTCGACGAGGGCATGTAGTCCTGCATGTGGGGCACGGCGTAACCACCTTCCGGCACATCTGTGGGGTCGCCGAGCAGACGACAGGACAGCAAGGGGTGAAAAGAGCGGGGGAAAGGTATGCTTAGTCAGGGAAAATTGCCGCAGAAATGTATTTGCATTAGTTGCCGGCAACGCCGTATTTTATGACTCTTTGCGCCAGCCGGCGGAAACGCCCTCCGCCTGGGCTCAAAAGGGGTCAAGGGGGGTCGATGGGGCTTACACACCTGTATAATCGGGCGTCATATTGCACTGTAAATCATTAACCGCCGCGTAGCCATTTACACCGCTCGTGTACATGTTCACATTGAAGGGCTCGTGGTAGAGACTGTTTTTGCCTATCGAGTCGCTGTCATCCACGCTGGCCTAAAAGAGCAATAAAAGTAAATGAGAAAGAAAGTTAGTTTAATGGATACATATCGTTGGGAAAGCCACTCTCTATTCGGTAAAAAATGCTTTCAGAATCTGAAGCCAAAGAAATTTAAAGTCTTTTTTCCAGGGCCATTCGAGACAGACTTTTAACTTTTAAATTTTTCTTCAGCTTGTTATCCTAACACTCGACACATGGCCAAATAAGTCCCTTATCTTGGTCCATCTGTTGCTTCGACTTCTAGCCCGATAGCTCTGGTGCTGAAAGACCGTGTTTCGCTTTCTATTTCGATGATAAAGTTTGCCGCACACAGAACTCTTAATTTCCACTCGGGAAAAACTTCTTTCATCCAATTTTACTCCCCTCAGTGGGTTGAACTTTAAAGTTTCCCCCTGACTGGCCACTTAAGCTTGACCCCCACAAATCAACAGAGCACGCACACTGTCGTCGGGCATTGAAAAGTCCCTTTAAATAAATGCCGGACGGAGGGCTTCTCACGTAGGACTAAGCAGTGTGGAAACTCCACGCTACATTGAACAATTATGTGGAAATTCGAGAGAGGAATTTCCCGGCCACCACGCACACGTATCCCTGACCCCTACCCTAACCCCCATCTCCAGCTCCATATCCACCTCTACACCACTCGCAACCCACCTACCTTGATGCTGTTGCCATTCTGCCGGTGCTTGTCCACGTTGCCGCCGAGGGTGTTGGGATTGAAGCTGTACTGAAACGCGTCCAGGACGTTGCTGCCGCGGGCCCGTTTCGTCCGCGAGACAATGAACAGGATGATGGCCACCAGCAGGATGATTATCGTCGTCAGCACCACGATGACCACCCCGATGAAGTTGGCGTCGTTCGGCTCCTGATCGATGGGGCGTGGCGCAATTACTGCAATGAAAGCGGAAAAGAGCAAAGGGCAAATTGAAATTTAAATTAACAAAGGCGCGCGTCGAAACGAAATTAAATGTAAATATTGTTCAACTAAATAATTAGACAGCGTCCGAGGACGCGAAAAAACGAAAGGCCCGATCGGTAGCATTGCAAAAGTGATGGTAATTGGACTTATCGTGCTTTTCAGCCACTTACGCTGCGGCCCGTTGTTGAATTTGCTGTTGCCCCCAGAACTGCCGCCCGCCGTGGCCACGCCCTCTCCAAGACCCCCGGCAGAGCCACCCACTCCGTTGGCCTTGTTCTTGCTGGGCTGGTACTCGTTGCTCTTGGTGTCATCATGGGTATCCTGCGCCTGACTCGGAGAATTGCTGCGCTGCTCCTGCTCGTCTGTGAAATTCCCAAGGGCGGGCACTGAAGATGGTAAAATGAGAAAAATGTAAGGGTTACGTTGGGGATTATTATGTTGTACTAGTTATAAGATAATTAGAGAACGATCCACTTTGTGCAGAGAGCTTGGCGCCCCAACTCAAGTATTAATCCCTGAGCACAGCTACAACAGCTGGCCACCTTTAACGGGACACTGGTGCGTTTTCCATTATCCAGAGTTTACTTTGATCCCAAAGTTTTCCCATCCTAGCTTATGTTTTCTCGGCCTTTTTTGTATCTTGCAAACATCTTCGGGGTATGACAAAACATAAATGTTTGGGGTGAGCCCTGCTGTCTGTCCATCCGACAAAAACGTTTTCTCGAGTGGGTGACCTCGTTTCTTTGGACAGTAAATGGCGTAATTACTGTGCGAAGTTCTTTCGGGAAAGTGGCGGAGTTGAGGCTGCTGTTTTGAGTTATGTCCCTGCTTCTCAGACAGGACTGGATGGTGTCTTTTGTTTCGACCGAGCCATTGTCCCTCGGGTGGCAGGGTTTATTCCCGTCTGCTTCCCTCCAGCGAAGGGAGTAGCTGGCCTCACCCGACTGAGCGACCACAGAGCCATAAAACGTTTAAAATAATTAAAATATTTCGTGCCACATTTATCACACACACACAGGGAAAGGGGCTCCAGGGATAATGGCGAATATGCCGCATATCCTTTGCCACAGTGCGCAGATCTCACTGTTGTTGTCGCATGCCCTTTATAACTAATTCCCTTTGTGTGTCCCCAGGGCCTCTCTCTCTAGTGCCGCCATTGTTTTCTTATTTTTTGGCCTTTGCATTTTTAGAAACCTTTAAAAACGAGTATAGCTGCCTGACAGCAGGGACTGCAATCACCGCGAGCAAATCTCACAAATTGGGGTTAAATCTGTGTACACTCGCACAGTGCCTGATAAAAATATACGCATACACTCGAAAGATGCTTCCCTACTATTTTAAACGTGCGTTTCTTTTGTTTACCCTTACCCCAGTTTCTCGCCCTTTGAGGCCTGCACTCGAGGCCTTCCAAATAAAAAACAGCTGGTTGCCCCCGGTGTGCGTTCCGCCTAACCCTCAAACCATTCCAACCCACTCTATATACATACATAAGTAGTCGGATTCCATCCCAACTTGTCTTGTGTGCGTGACAAATGCTTCGTTGAGACGATTTTGTTTTCTGGATAGTCATGTAATTGCTGCAGACAAGCGGGCACGGTATGGCAGTTATTTTTTGTTTATTGTTTTATTTTTGTTTATTATTTGGTTATCCTTGGGTTTTGTTTTTGGCAAACTATTCAGGACTACTGATCGTCGGTACCATTCGAGAACTATTTCTGAGAAATACTAATAAAGCTCTAGCAAAAACTCCTGTGATGCGACAAAAAGTCGTTCCAGTGATACCTTTCGATTGGTATACTACTCGCTCTGATCGCACCATCAGTTTCGCAATATCTCCACGTGAGCTTCTTCACTGTGTGTACTATATGATCATAGGCTGCGTTCAGCAGAACAACATGATCACTGATGGATCAGTAATCAGTAATCAAGTTTGTTCTGCTGAACGCTCATGATACATTTCGACGACGTAAAAGTAAAATATATAACAAATATTGCGCGCGCAATTTGAAAATATATATTTTTCCCGCCCCCGCAACTGCAGCACTGCTCACAGCTATCGTGGATACATAAATATCAAAAATGGCTGAACAATTATAAAGAATTCCACCGAATTTATGGTTTTTTTTAAATTATTTTGTTAATAAGTTTCGATATTTCGACTATCGATACATGCCAGAAGTCATGCATCATGTATCAAGAAAAGGTAGCGTACTTTTTTTACGCTACCTGATCACTGATGCAAAATTCTTGCATCATGATCAGTGATCATGTGCGTTCAGCAGAACTATCGTAAGAAATCCATCAGTGATCAGTGATCATGTTGTTCTGCTGAACGCAGCCATAGTTTCTTCTACTCTGCAATGTAGTTTTTTTTATGATTTTACAATTTGTTGCCAAAAACAATCGCAATGTTAATGGTAAAATAAGAAGGAAAGCTATTTTTATACATAAACGCCTACAAATTCAAATTAATATTTATTAAATAACTATTTTATGTTTATAAGATCGGACAGCTATATTACATAGCTGCTATGGAAACGATCTACAAGGGTGTATAGTCTTGGCTTGCCTAAGCTAGCTTCCTTTTCTTGATTAATCCTTCAAGGTTGCTCAGATTTTTAACTGTCTCTCATCCTTTTCTCTCCCTTGTCCGTTTAATTGACTTGTACCCTTAATAAAACTACTAGATTTCCCTATCAGGGATTTTTCTCCCTGACCAAATCAATGTGCCATCTGCCCGGATAGTAAAATGCAGGAAATCCCTATTTATATGGCACGCTTTATTGAACTCATCAATCAAACTCGCCTGCTAGGGGAAATTATCCCTCCACCCTATTTCGCACCTAACAACGGAGGGATTGACGTTGATTCTGCACCGAAATATATAAGCGATTTTTGGTTCACTGACCGAAGCGATCTGCTCAAATAAAGTAATTTGTGCCGTAGGGTTGAGCCCGGGATTGAGCCTTTTAATCGGAGCCTGTCAGGATATTCATACAAAAATATGTTGAAAATGCAACGCATACCTCGAGTTTCAGATGTGGATATATCCACCCTAAAGTCTTATATTGTTTACATTTGCAAGCAGACGGGTTGTTCGCATTCAATTGACTTTGGATTTCAAGCCAGGAGGAAATGTTTGTGTTCGTTTATCTCTGGGCTGTCCCTTCCCCTAACCTATCCGCTCTTCTCTGAGGTCTATTGTTATTGGCCAAAATGTTGGAAAAATGTTTTATCCATCCTAAGAGTAATGCATTGCTTTCCCTCCCATCCGTTGTGTTGTCGCATAATCGAGAGTGAAATGAAGCTGAAAAATGCATTTGTACGCATGCAATGCTTTTCCTCAGACTGCCTGCTTCAGTTGGCAAAGCAATTCCCTGCCAGTTTCACTTATTTTTGCATCCCCGCATCTCACGTACTGTACTCACCGGATATAAAGCTGATCTCCGACAGCATAATCCATTTGACGGCAAAGTACAAATTGATTTTCAAATATTTGCCCACTCGATGGTGCAGCTTAATAGTCACATCGCGGGCGTGATCCATTATGGTGTCGGGCATATAAGAGAACTGCACAGGTTCCCCCGAGAAGTAGCGCCCGCCAATGCTGAAGAAGACCTTGGCATGCACAAATACCTGAGATACATAAAAAAGTTTTGCAATTGCTTAACATGAATATAGACTATATGCGAAAATAAATACTACTATACTTCGAGTTTTAAGAAAGTTGGAATAATTTGAATTGATAAAATGAATTTCAATTAATTTACGGATAGAAGTTTATGACCACTTTTAAAAAATGGGATTGGACACTCACCTGAACATCCTTGGTGAACATATTGTTCGTGTGGAGCACGATGGCACTGAAATTGCGAACCGTATCGAATTCAAAGACAATTTCCACTGGTTTTCCCAGCAGTCCCGGCGTATCGTTCCGCCAGCCAATCCATTCATAACCTGAAATGAAAAAAAAGCCATCAAAATGAAATAAAATGAACATTTCACATGTCAGCCCAGGGAGGGGGAAATCAATAGAGCAGCCCTGAGGGGGACTGACATGTAAAGCTCTTTAAGCCCCCGACCTGGCATTGCCGATGGCACATTTGGGGTGAAGTTTTCCCCAAATGCCCGAAAACAAATAAATGCTCACGGCAGGCACACGAACGAGGGTTTGGGTTGGGGGTAGACTCTGTACATATAACTAGAAATAATGGCCAATGCGACATTTAAGCCATTTTTTCTGCTGCTGAGCCTTGTTTGCGTGGCCCTAATTTCAGTGGAATAACGAGTCCCCTACGTGGTGGTTTATGGAGGACTTCGGGGGAGTGGGATTTAGTGAGGGGTTCTTCCGCAAGAGTCATGCAATATTAGCTTGCAGCCACTGTGGCTATATGCCTATGGGATTCAGAAACAAGACCTAACCAGAATTTATGCAATACCTCCTTGGAAAGCAGTAGGGGTCACCCAGTACGACCCAACCCGGTCGAGTATTGATTCCCACTTAGCAAGCACTAGTAAGTAAGCAAAGACGAGCATATAGCTCCCATGAAAGTGGAGATGTGGTAGTGCCGGGAATCGGAATTATGCGCCGGAAACTTTCTCGTTGCAGTGCGCTGCTTTTACGGCTCCGTCTCGACCTCATCTTGAATTGCGACAGACATAGCGACTGCATGTCTAATTGTCTAACCAAACTTCTCTTCTGGGTAAAGTTCTCAATAATTTCGATTATTGGCCATTTGCCAGTCCATGAAGAATTCATGGAATCGCGGGCGGAGCACTGAAAAGGAGCGACATGGAAAAATATAAACTGGCAAGCTTCGCAAATTCCCAAACTTTTGCATTTTTGGGGCGGAAATGAATGCCAGTGCTGCCATAAATTATCAACTGTGCATAATGTTTACATTTTTTCTGCCAGTAGTGGAATGGACGGGGATTTATATTTTGGGTTGCTATCTGGGCAAGTTTTACGCGACGCCAGCAAATGGTCCAAAGTTATTATTTATTTTTGTTTATTGTGTTGTGTTGTGCAGTCAAATTATTTGCGAAAGCCAAAGTTTTTCCCCACGCGCCGCAATCGGTGTTCAATGAAGTGAGCTTTCAGCGGCGCAATGGGGGTTAGACGTTGCCCTATGCTTTTTCTGTCGGTGAACTTTTGCCATTATTTGATGTTAATCAGTTTCTTCTGCTGCTGTAAGTCTTGACTGCTTCAAATGGCCTTCGACGTACTGTGGGCCTTGTTTTGTATTAGGTCGAAAAAGGCCTAATTCAAGACTTTTTTGTTGTGCTAAATACATTATTTTCATACTATCGAAAATTTACCACGATTTAATTTTAATTTTCAAAAAATCTGTCATTTGAACTATCGAAAAATTAAAGGGAAAGTATTTACGATTTTGGTCGTATTCTCTTCTACTCTGCGATATAACATTCTTTTAATATTTCAGAATTCCGAAATAAATTTAACCACCCTCAGACGAATATATTATATAGCTACCGTAAGAAGGTTAACAAAATTAATGTGAAAATATTATTATTAAGTAGTTAATAATTTGCTGGCTTAAGTTTCCTTCCTTCTTTTGAATTAGTTTATAAGATATATTAAAAAGGTAACATTTTTACACGTAGACCGATCAAAAAATGAAGAAAAGAAGATATGATGATCAATTCTCTGAAATTAGGTATAATTTTTATCTTGATACGGGGCTTATCACTTTAACATGTCCGTTCGTTTCGAAAATTGCTGTCTGTGGGTTGGAAGTCATTGTAATTTTATGCTGTATGTTTTGAAAAATGCTATTGACCATGCGCATATCAAATTATTCCTTACGTGTTATTCTTTTTGTGTACAATAGTCGGCATATTTATTAAAAAATTAAATCTACTCATATTTTGAAAGTATAATTTAATTATTTAATTTGACTCCTATAAAAAGAGCACTTTAATTCCGTTTTAATCACCCAAAAAGGTTCTTAAATGTTTCTTTCTAAAGGTGCCAAAATGTTTATATAATAAGTCGAAATATCAGTAGATTTAACTTTATAATCTGTCAAAATAATTATGACGACTAGTGTATAGCATAAACAAAGTTAGAGTAATTAAAAAAAAAAATTTAAATGTACCACAGTACATCGAGTAAAATTTGAAGGGGCAAATAGTTTGCAAACGGAAACCGGAAAAAAACTATTTTGCCCAAGGAATTTTCATATTTTCGGGAAATTAAGAGTAAAATTTGAAGGGGCAAATAGTTTGCAAACGGAAACCGGAAAAAAACTATTTTGCCCAAGGAATTTTCATATTTTCGGGAAATTAAGACACAAGAATCTTGTTCGTGGTTCAGTTACTCACCCTTGCCAAATCCGTGGATGTCGGTGCGGAAATTGTCCTTGCCCTTCTGTCCGTCCACCAGTTGACCAAGGCCATCCACATAGCGATCGCCCTGCTCATTGCCATCGTAGGTTTTATCCGAAAGATCCACCTCCATGCCGCGCTGCACGCCCTTTGGAATGCTGTAAGACACGATGCCCTCTGAAACGGTTCAAAAGAAAAGCGTCGAATTGAAAATTGAGTGGGGAAATTCTCGGAATTTAAACAAAACAAGAAAGGAAGCTACCTTCGGCCAGCCGAACCTTACATACCCTTGCAGATAAAGTAATGCTCACTCGGTGCTGTTCCAGGGATTTCAGATTCAGCGTTTCTATTTTTGAATTTTGTTTTTAAAGAGTCAAGAATTAAAACGCCAACTTCCTACAAAACAATGAATTTTCTTATATATCTTTGAATATTCCTATGGGAGCCTTAAGATATAGTGGTCCGATTCGGCTCGCTCCGACATATGTACTACCTGCAATAGAAAGAAGACTTTCGGGAAAGTTTCATCGCGATATCTTTAAAACTGAGAGACTAGTTCGCATAGAAACGGACAGACGGACAGACGGACAGACGGACCGACGGACAGACGGACAGACGGACAGACGGACATGGCTAGATCGACTCGTCTAGTGATGCTGATCAAGAATATATATACTTTATGTGGTCGGAAACGTCTCCTTCACTGCGTTGCAAACATCTGACTGAAATTATAATACCCTCTACAAGGGTATAAACATTAAGTCGAAAACAACGAAACCTGAGAGGCTGCTAGAGGGGATTGGGACGCTGAAATCACGCGTAAGAAATGTCAAATACTTGTTTCGCGTCATGTAGGGAAGACAAATGTCTGACAAAGGCTGACTTCTGCGGTCGTACACCTAACGAAAAATTGATAATAAAATTACAAAATCATTTAAGGACAGATGTTTTTAGTTAAATCTCTATAATAAATCAGAAATAATAAAAAGCTTGGATAATAAATATTTTAATTTAACTAAAACTGGCCAGGTGTGATTCTGGTTTTGAGGTTGTTTCAATCTTCAGTGTAGGTGCCCCGAATTTCTTTGGGCCTTAAACCGCCTGAAATTAAAAGTTTTTACTCTATACTCCCTCAGGACGGAGCGTCATAATACGGCAGAGAGCTCTCGCAGGAGTGGTGGTGGATATTGAGTTACTTGAAACATAATTTCGTTCTGTGGCCACTTTAGTCTCGCTCACACCCTCCTTATCTGTCATTTGGTTTCAGTGGTTATGTTGGTCATTAATCGAAAGGGGGTCGGAAAACTTCCTTGGTGTAGTTTTTCAATGTCAAAGTCAAACGCTGGGGAGGAGGCTCGCTATTGAGTCATGTTCATTTAGCAATGTGCTTTCTTCACTTTTTGTTGCGCGTTGGTTTTAGGGGATTAGCCATCAAAAGTAAGAGCGAAACCCAAGTAACATACAAGCAGGGGCCATCCAAGGCTTCGATCCCCAAAAAAGACAACTGCGGCCACCAATCTGCCACCACTCGCAAACAAACACCTGACACTAATTACAAAATCGAATAGCGTCCACTCCGCCCACGAAAACAATTACGCCACATCGAAAAAACCAACAACCGGCGGCACTCAGGGTTGCCAGGCACTCGATATAATTAAACCCCTGAAAAAGTAGGGTGCAACCATCGATGGAAGGGGAAACTTGTACACACGTTTAACTAATTCACTAGAGTTTCTATTTTCACAATCGGGTCACGTGGTAAACAGGACACCCGGACAAACACTCTCACAGGATAGATAGGCAAAACAAGTCGGCCGAAGGAATTTTCCAATAATTACCAAAAATCACATAATTACACATAATTAAGGCAGTCCCACCATTGGGCATATGTAGATAATGATGATGGGGCGCTCAGGTGGGCAGATGACCGTTATCGATCACAGGAGTGGGAGATACGTTCGAATGAAAATAATAATTATTATTCAAGGACTTCGGGCTGCTTTAATTACACGAGTTACGGCGGAGCGGGGAGATAAGTTCTCCGATTAAGCCGAATGTAAGCGTTATATGGCATATTTAATTAACTGCAGAGACATTTAAGGGAGCGCGTTTCACAACTGCGTTGCTGCGACAACATTCGCGCAATGTCAGGACAGGAGTGTAGCACTATGGGGCTCTGTGGGGACTTGGGGGCAAGGAGATGGCTTCCTCCCACCTCCGCTGTCTGTTTGCCTCGTTACTCGCGTGCCCGCATGCGATACTTATTTGCGTGTCGCGACAGTCGGAGGACCGGTGACGGGACGGGACTCATGCTGCCAAAAAATGGGCAAAGTAAGAAGTCCCTGCTTAAGTGCGTGGAGCAGTTCGGGGCGGCTTGCGAGGGCGGTGAACGGCCCCGAAGACAGCAACTGCAACATATAAAAGCAATTTTTCTCCTTTTCTGGATGTGGCACGCAAGCCAACGGTAGCGGCAACAATGTCAACTCGCTTCTTGCTGATGACTCAAATTGAGGATTCAAGATGGATGGCTGAGTGGTCCCAGTGGACTTGATGGAACTCAAAGGGAATTTCAAAATAAACTAAAATGTGGACGAAACACTGCCCGGGGCTTGAAACACTAGGCAGTTTCAAGACCATTTCCCCTCCCCAGCCTGTAGAGACTCCCACCTGGTATCTCGACTTTCAATTTTCCAACCTCCAGCTAAACTTCTTCGGTTCGCTGAACGTTTCAACACCAACATAGCTAGCCACTAAGGTAGTGCCCTAAAATAGGTATAAATTATGGGCCCCTGAACAGTGGGTACCATAAATCCCGGGCTTAACGCTAATCAGTTGCTGCATTTATAATGCACTTGAGCATTCACATATGCATACCCGTTTCGATTCCAAGAGCCGTTGTTAAATCATAACAAATTCGAGCTTAGGCATGTTTTGGATGTCCAAGTGGAAGATAATCTCTGACGCCCAACCCGAACTTTTTTCTAACGATTGTGGCGCTTAGGCCTAAACTTCCCAAATCCAAACACTTCGGGAGCGGTCCAATTTATGCCCCTAGGTGGGGTCAGGTCAATTCAAATTCAAATTCCAGCGGTTTCCAAATTTATGGCTGGAATTGATAAACAATTATGATTTGCGACGGTGCTCTTTTGAGAGGATTAATGATCGGGTAATGAAATCGCCGCAGACATAAAAAATGGATTTATTGATTTCTTTGCCCACTGTCCGGCTGTCTGGCACTTGTCTAGACCCATCTGCTGCTTGCCACTGTGCCCCACTGTAAGCGCAATCCATTTCCATCTTATCTTGTTTAATTTGCATATGAAATGCGCCATGTCGGCCCTCGTGTTCACATTCCCCCTGGCAAATCAAATGATAGCCCGCAAAATGTGAGCGGTCAGGAGTTTGCATGTCTGCCAACCCCAAATTCCCCGTTCCGGCACAAGTGGGCGTGCCGCAGTTCTAGCCCGGCTCCCGCGCACACAAATGGCGCCACTTACCAGGGGACCTGGGACCAGGGACCGAGCTCCCAAGCCCAGCCGCCATCTCCTAGGCCCGGCCGAAAACCCTGCGTTAATTTACAGAATAATTTTCAACTTCCGCGCCTTTTCCAGCTCTTTGGGGAACTGGCTTTACAAATTGTCATTAGGCGCGTTTTGCTGGCCAGCTTCGTGTTATCGCTGCCAGTGGAGAACTCGGCTCTCAACCTATGGAAATTATAGAAAAATGTGTTTGTCCAGACTTGTTTCTGACTCCTGCACTACTTGACAATTGCGTGCAGAAATCGACAACGTAGAGGTTGGGAAGGTAGACCAGGTTGGTCATGTTGTTTGGCTACACTGGGAAGAACTAGAAGGAAGAGTTATGTTCGTTAGGAACCACACATGTATGTATTTAAATTATTTTTTTTTAATTTAAAAGATGCAATGAGGTAGAAATACATAGGTAATGCCTTAAGCCACTAGTATGTTACACATTCACTACATCTGGTAATCAATTGTAGGCTCTAAATTTGAAGTGCATTTAGTTGTTTTGGCGCTTTCCTCTTTTAGTTGTTTTCAGACATCAGTCGGGACATAGTGTTCAGCCTGCCCGGCAGGTCGTCGTCTGGGATTTCGATTTCGGTCGGGTCTAGCCACGAGCAGTGGTATGGTATGGGATGTTTTTCCAATGTCTGCACGCGATATATTTCAAGTACAGTGCTCATGCCGGTATGAAGAAATCCCGACAAGTCAAGTTACGGTGCCCATATGTTGGGAAAAAAAATCAGAAATGCGCCACATTTCGTTTTATAAAGCGTAGCAGTCACCTTGATGGGATTACGTGGTCCGGCCAGACGTTGCTTGGAAATTTATTTTACTGGGGTGCGAATAGCTCTCAAACTCAAGGCTTAGATTTGCTTTTGGGTCATGCGATTTGGGGAGACTTTGCAGGCTTTCGTGGTAGAAGCTTATAATGCGGTAATAAATAAAAAATATGCAATTCGGGGGAAAAATAAATTTTCCTCAGAAAAATTAATTAAATCGAATTCTAAAATTATGGCCCCTTTACCACAATAATTTAAATAAAATTGAATAAGCACAGTCCAAGAAACCATAAAAGTATGGAAAACAAATGAAAGTATTAGATACGAAACTATAAGTGATGTCCTGAATTTGAGTTAAGAACCGGAGGTCATGCCGCCCCTTATAACGTATTCAGAACCTCTGCACAATCTACATTCTCTACGCCGGCACTCACAGCCCAAGGGAATCGGCAACTTCCATGCTAATGTCTGTCCACAAGCAAATCGAGCGAACATTTAAGCCGCCTTTTGCTGATCTAATTGCAAACAAGCTGCCCCCCGGTACTGCGGAATGATAAATTAGCGCTGACACTAAAACTCTGTTAGCCTCTCCGCACTATTATTGCTCATGTCGGACTCTTATCGCCGCGCCTTGAATTTTCCGATTCGACTCACCTTCCCATGGACAACCGACGATCTCGGCCCGCAGACAGACAGTTCGGTCATACTGGCCATATGGATAGATGCGGATCTTCGAGGCGAAAATGATTGGCTGCAGGGCGTTCTCCACCTCGCTGTACGTGTTGATGTTTCCGGGCAGAATCTGCGGAGGAACGAGGATCGGGTTAGCTGGAAATAGAGCTGGACTCGGATGGGTGACACCTACCTCCTTGCCCTGGATATTCTTCCAGCGCTGCCACTTGTCGAAGCCCGGACGCCAGTACTCAAGAACATAGGCCTCAGTGTACTCCTGGCCCTGGCCCTTGCCAAAGCGGCCCTGGGTCCGGATCGCAGTGATCACGTGGGTATGCAGCAGGTCGACCTGCAGATACTCCTTGAGGGCATTCGACACCATGTGCTTGGGGCACCAGGCACCTCCATTATTATCGGTTTTCAGTCTGAAACGAGAGGGAGTTGGGAGAACTTTCTTAATAAGACTCCGTCTGCGGTAGCTGCGAGAACCAGTTGCTGGGAGGGGGAAATTTTTATAAATTAATTGACATTAAGCGTTCGGCACCACATGAAGCCCCACCACCAGCCCCGACGCAAAACCCAAACCCTACTCGAACCACTGGCGTTTGTGGTGCGTCGTCTGGCGGCTCGTCTCGTTCGTTAAGCTGTTTGCGGTTTTAGACACAGCAGGATGTTGTCTGTGTAATTAAGGATTAATTTAACCTATTCCCGGACAGAGGACAGAAGACAGATGCGGACGAGCTTTAAACAATTTTCAGCCAGTGGAAGCCATCGATACGTTAACCACTTCTACTTCGAGTTTCGGTTTATATTTCAATTAAGTTTTACATGCTTGATTGCGTTTCGGCTGCCTTAATGCCCGGCCATTACTCATGGAACTGCTACATTGCTACAAAGCCTAGACTCGCTTCGATCGGAGTCGAGTCAAGTCAAGTCAAAGACTCGGACTCCTGGCCTCCTGTCGTCGTTGGTTTCGTGGCAAATTGCTTCATTTGGCCGCTTGTCCCGGGCTCCGAACCTGTGGATGCCAGCGGGCTATTGGAATTGAATTCGATTGCGATGTTTATTTACTGGCCAACTGGGATTATAAGTGCATGCCTCGAAATCTTTAAGAAATGTTCATGTCCCGCCTCTGCCTTCGGGGAGAGCCATTAGTAATGTGCTTCCGCGTACATTGAGACATCGCTTAATTTGAGCCAAGCGATATAAGCAGTTTAAAAACAAATGATATTCCGGACACTCTTTTGGCCGACACTCTTATGACAGTTTTTAAATATTTCTTTCTGAAGTGCCCCAAGTAAGCACCACGGCCTTCTTGCAGTATTCATTACCAACTGCAATCACTCTAAAGAGCGGGGATAAAAGTCTCTTCATTGGAACACTGGCGAATTTTAATTATATTACTCCCACAGCCAGGCAAAAAGGTCAATTTAATCTTCATAAAATAAGGTTTCCTTCTCTCCGCCCTGCTCCACTTCATCATCCCCTTCCTCTCCTTCTACAGCCCAGAGGCAGTCGGAATAAAGAGTAGAGAGAGGAGCGTACAAACATCATTTAAAATGCTAATATCCGCAGTTATGTGCATTTCAACTTGACTTTAATTATTGTTATTGCCAAAGTTAACAATCTGCGCCACCGTCGGCTGCTCATTTTCAGCGCTGATGGACTGGCTAACTGCCTCTTCGTTGTGAGGGCCCCTGGACGTGGCCTCCAACTTCTAATCGGAGGAGGGCTCCGATTTTTTCTCTTCTCGCTATTCGTAATATGTAAAAGGTTGTAAACTTAATGGCCTGACGGTCGTGGACGATGGGCGCGGTAATGAAAATCAAACAGCGCCAACTGTCATTAAACTAATCTCCGTAATTCAATAGCCCCAGCCGGACCACAAACCGTCATCGCAGTCATCTCATGGCCTCCTGAGGGCTCTGATCCCTTGCAGTGATTTGTCGTAAGTGCATGTAGTGCCCCCTCCCCGAAATGAATTACGGCAAGTTTCTTTCGAGCACATCTTTTTGCAGCTAGTTAGTCTAGTTAGGTAAGTGCACGGCAGCCGCAAATTATAATGCTGCCTGCACTTTTGAACTTTACTGGTTGACTCTGAGGAACTTTCGGCTAAGCAAATTGCAGCTTGCCTGATTGGGCATTCCGTGGAGTTGAGGGAGGGAATCGAAAGACAAAAGAGAAAGTTGCTGGCTCTGAGGAGTTTCAAGAGTTTTTGCTGCCTGTGCAGGGGGTTACTTCGGAGGACCCCAGTGTTTTCTAGCAGCGAATAGTTGGGCCACCGAAGGAAAATTAGTGTAAGGTGAATTTGGAAAAGTTTTGCAATTTCAAGTGGAGCACTCTTTAATTAGCGGTCGAAGGAACGGAACTCAGCTTAATAAATATATCTGCTGCCAGTCGGTTGCGCTTTGCATTTACTCTTCAGGCACTTAGCATCTCAGGAATTGCAGACAGACAACTGCTGTCGATCCGAGCCAGGGAGCGACTACCAATATCTCACATCCTCAGCCACGAGCTCTGCAGGCGAATCGAAGAGCTTGAGATCTCCGATTTCCCAGATGAGTCAGTTGGCACCGACCTCCGGCTATAGCGTCTGCCCGCATGGCAAACTTATCAAAGCCAGTCCGATTTCCACTTTCGTTCCCCGCACCTTGTTTTCGCCTGACGGTGCAAGCTCAAATCCGTCTGTCCGCCGCCTCCTTAGTACAAATTCCGGTTAATCTGCCTCAGAAAGAAATAGCGGCGAACCAAACCAAATATATTTTGTTTATCTTCGACGTGCTCAACACGCGCTGTCTTTGTGGCTATATTTTAGTACCTCCATAAAGGGGTAATGTTAATGATGCCTTTGTGGTGGTGCATGGATGTGTGAGAGTGGTGCCTTGGTTGTCAGTCGGCCTGGCACTAGAGTGTTTTTTAAGTGCATGTCCATAAAGGCGAACAGAACATTCTTACGGGCAGCCAAGTAAAAGAAGGGCTAGGAATGAATCTTTGCCTAACTGCATGTGCGATGTGTTTGCATTGATTTCTGGCCATAATTCATGCGGTAATTGACATGTTTATGGCTCTGAATGTGCTCACCCACCCCGCCAAGATATTCCATACTAATTACACGACAAGTCAGGCCCATCTGATGGTGTCATCAATCATGGCTGCGCAACGGTCAGCGCAATTGCGAAACTTCCGCTTCAATCTCTGCCCCGCATCGATTCACTTGGAGCTTCCTGCCTATTACCATCCGATCGCAACCCAAGCTAAGGGCCCTTTTGTCTATACGCGACAATAAAATGTAAACATGGCTGATAAATTGAAATTAAACCAAACTCGTCTATGGAAAGGCAATCGTCTTTTACTTCATTCCTCGTTCGTTGTCACAAAAACCCGCTTGAACTTTGTCTGTCTGGGAGGGAAAACGAGTTTGTGCATTTCAGAAATCGCATTTAATTAGCTGGGTAAAGGGCTGCCGACCTTTCTTCGCGTGTCCCCTGATGTCACATCCATTAAACGGTGGCCATGTCGATCCGCTGCCTACTCATGGATAGATTTTCCACTGGCAGAGAGATGATCTTTGATTGCCCCAAAAGGGCGCTAGCCGATCATTAACCACTATCTTCTCTGCTCGCCGGATATGCAAAACCTGGCCTGGTATTTGTTAGAGTTCGATTTCGGGGCTTTGTGTCTGGACTGTTTGGTATTTTAATGGGCAAACTGTTTGTGTCATATCATAAACTTCCTTGTCATTGCCAACAGCAGAGTGAGCTGTGGCCAAAGATTTCTATTTTATTGGCTCTGCCTTTAGTCCATAGCTTAGTTAGTCCATAACTAACGAAGTTGTCTATAAAATTAGCAATTAAAAGATCACGCCGGACGGCGGCATCCTAGATAAGGCCCATCTCTAACTTTTAAATGCCTAATGAGCCGGGTGGTGTGGCAGGAACAGGGGCGGAATCGTAAACGATTACAAAGTATGGGTCTGCTCTGCAACCAAAAAACTTGACCGCAGACGATCTTGATTGTATATATTTCTTGTAAGGCTGACACTTTTACGTTTCGAAATTACACAAAAAAATATATTTGCGACTGTTTAGCAGTGCAAACTTGTAGCCTTTGGATACTAAATAAATAAGTCTAAATAAATGTATTTTTAGTGCGCAGTGTTCACCAGTGCTGCCATCACTCAGCTTGAAAAACAGGGAAAAAAAGGACAAAAATTTTTAAGAAAGGACAAAAAAAGGGACACAAGTAAATGCGCCTCCATTTTTTTGTTTTACCAATGGGTTATATAATTACTTAATTTAAATGGATTTTATATTAAATTCAATTATGTAATGACCTACTGCGCCCGACTCACATCCTTCTTTGTTTGATCATTTTACCATGGTTAATTTTTGTGCGTATACGTAATAATCTAAAATTATTAAAATAATAAAAGCATTTCAAGTAACTATATTGGTAATACAAAAAAATGCAATATCTGCGTCAAACCCGAATATAGAAAATCCATCGACTGCTTTACGTCTCTTTGATAATTTGTAAAAATAATTATTTTTTAAGTGCCGAACTGTAAGATTGATGGTTAAAAATGCGTTTTAGCATATAAAAACAGGTTTACACATTTTCGACTGGCAAAAATAACACTCAAAACCTTATTTTTGAAAAAGGGACGGATAGGGGATGTTTGAAATTTTTTCCGGACAAACCCGTTAAAAAAAGGACAGATCTGTCCGGAAAGAGGACAAAATGGCAGCACTGGTGTTCACGAAGTTAGGGTATTTTTAAGATTACCGTGTTTTTACGCCACTTACCTTGCATGTTGAGGTCCAACAAAGCCCATGTCATGCGCTGAACTCGCTGTGATTTGAGCATCTGTTATGACTAACGACTCCATGCCCAGGGGCACATTGCACGTGGCTGTAAATAAACGGGAAATTTAAATGTATTTTTAACGTTAATTAATGACGACGAAGGCAAAACATGAAATGTAGGTATTTAAATATAGAGGCAATGAATTGTAGTCTGCGCAACGCCCCGAATATATCAAGAAACGTCAAGTGTCAGTTTTTGTTTTTGACGATCGCAGGAAGAAAGATGCGTGTTAATGCCCATGCCCGGTCACATTCCCAGCAATCTCTTATTAGGAAAATATAAGACCCTCTTAATCATTGCCAAAGTCATCTTTGGTCTGGCAGAACGTCAACTACTTTTCTTAATTTATTGCCCACCAATTGCATTTGCCAAAGCAGGCAGACTCTCCTCTCACTTTCCTTTGATATGGGAGGAGCCACGAATCCCCAGCTCTGCGCCTGACAGTCCACTGGTGACATTTTCGACAGAATCAACACTGATTTGACATGACTTTTGTTGCTCCAGCGCAGCAGCCTCGTCACGGACCAATCCCACTTTTGATTTCCTCCACCAAGGTTGCGAGCATTCGCTTAGAAGTTTATAAATAATCACACGGGAAAGTGTGTGGATCAGAGGCACGACGATGGAAGAGGATCATCAAGATCTGGGGAGAAGTCAGCCAACTAATTTAAACTGAACTTTAAACGGCGGATTGTAAGCCAATTTATTTATTTATTTATTTCGCCAACAGACTTCATGTTCTTTACTGGCTACTTAACTAACTCTTAACTAATTACTAATTCTAGAGAAATATAATAACAGGGCTTTCTTGTTGCTATCCCTGGACGAACTTGGGTCCAATCGCATGCTAAGTGGCAGACTGTTGAAGAGATGTAAAGCTCTGTACATAGGCTCATTTAGTGCGTAATTTGTTCAGTGTGTAGGGATAAAAAAAGGTTCAGTGGTTCTTAGAGCCCTACTAGGCACGGATAGGCTAACAATACTAAGCAAAATAGGGCAATTTTGCCGGAAAGTACACACAAAAAAATTTGCTTCGTAAAATTGATCAACAAAGATAGTTACGTAACTATTAAAATAGTTACGTGTATTTTGTTTTTGCTTTGGGTTTGTGTCTTTGCTAATTGTGTGTATTTTGTTGTTGTGAAATGACTATTTACTTAGTAGAATTGACAATTTTGCTGGTTGGGGCCTGTTTGACAATTATTACAGTTGATTTTACCAAGTTTTTTTTTTGTGTGTAGGTCTAATATAAAAAGCAGCGCAATTACACTCCTACGATCTTGTAATGTTGCAAGCTGTACAAGGCGACACCTAGCACCATAGGAAGGAGTGGGATCACGGAATCGGAGGCTTTGAAGGGCGAAACGGAGGAAAAGCTTTTGCACTCGCTCTACCCGACGAATGTACACAAGTCCAGTCGGGTTCCAGACAAAAGCCGCATATTCTAATTTAGAATATATATATATATATACATGGCATATGCTTTAGGTATGATGTAGTTTATATGTTCAGCGAAGAGAAATTTCGAATCAAAAACAATTCCTAAATCCAGGCACTCGTTTTTTGTGGCAAGGAGATGGGAATTAATTGAATACGAACAGATAACAATATTTATACGCTTGCTGTATCTTACTAAAAAGCATTTTGAAAAATTTAAAGGAAGCATATTTCGGGAGCACCAATTACCTAATCTATTTAAGTCATTCTGGAGGAGTAAACAGTCTGAAGTTGAATTAACGGACTTGAATAATTTGAGGTCATCTGCAAATAATAGAAACTCAGAATCAAGTATGGAATTACTTATATCATTTATAAATAAAATGAATAGAAAGGTCCCTAAAGCACGGACTTGAATAATTTGAGGTCATCTGCAAATAATAGAAACTCAGAATCATGTATGGAATTACTTATATCATTTATAAATAAAATGAATAGAAAGGGCCCTAAAGCACTTCCTTGAGGGAGGCCAGACATTGCCACATACGGGTTCGAAAAAACCCCATTATTTTCCACTTTGTATTCTCTATTGGTTAGGTAGGACCTAATCCAATCTAAGATTAGAGAGTGGAATCCCATTTTTTTAAGCTTAGCTAATAAAGCAGTATGACAGACTTTATCAAAGGCTATGGCAAAGTCGGTATAGACTACGTCTACTTGGTGATGATTCACAAAAGAATTTATGCAGAAGTGATTGAAGGTTGCTAAATTAGTGGTAGTCGATCGTCCTGGCATAAAACCATGCTGGTTAGGGGTAATAGAGCGACCCACAAGAAAGTTTAGCTGCCTAGCCACAATGCGCTCAAACATTTTTGAAATGTTACTCAGCTTGGCAATTGGTCTGTAATTAGATATGGAACTTTTTACACCTGATTTGAGAATTGGGGTCACTGTAGCTAACTTCCATCTATGAATGAACATACCACTGGAGAGAGACTTATTAAAAATTATTTTGAGGGGGTCACATAGAACATCAATACAATTTTTTAGAATAAAGGGAGAAAGGCCATCGCAATCCATACGTTCTGAGTCATTTAAGCTCGCAGCAGCAATATGGCTGTCAAAGTCGGACACAATTAGATTTCCTATTTCCTATTCCTATTCCTATTTAATAGAGAGTCGATGGAAAGAAGGGTTTCATCATCATTCCAGGATGAAGATGGCTCGAAATTGGATGAAAAAAATTTAGCAAACAAGTTAGCGACCTCCAAGTCCGAGGAAGCCATTTCACTGTTAAGAGACATGTGGGAAGGAGTCAGAAGTCAGTGCCTGACTTGAAGATTTATGCACTCTGAAATGTTTTTTTATTTAATTTTTTTTCGATTCGAACACGGTTTTAGTTAGTTGTTAAAAAAAAAATATGTTTTAATATCAACGTGCCTCTTCAATATTTATTTAAATTCTTTTTTATGTAGGGTTCAGTCTATCCTATAGAGTAGTATATTTTCCTGAATGATACACTCAAAGTTTTCCCATCTCTGTTGGACGTTGTAGCTTCTAGTGCATTCACACTTGATTGGGCTTGATAGCCAGCTACGCAAATGAAGAGCGAAGTGCCTGGGTGCCTGGGGGCATGGGCCAGGTTAGGTCAAAAGCCAGCTCTCACACCCTAAATCTGAATCCGGCTGCGACTCCGACATGCACTGCATATTGCAAGTGCATTCATTTGGAAAATTGTTGCATGTTTTGCTAACTCAACTCACATCGATGTGTCTAGCCCCAACAACAACAAAACAATAAAGTGCTCCTTTGGCATGTGTTTGCTTTCCGAGCGGAGCAGGGGATAAGTGCAAATATTGCTAGGGCTACAGCAGCAGTCGGTTCCCAGAGTTCTGGGACCCCGAAACGAACATGTTTATAGATTCGTATTTATGTATTTGGCCTGCTTGATTAACTATAAATATTATAACAGAAAGATTTCATTTTGGTAGGATGCTGGATATTGTGGCAGAGGCAAGTTGAATGTCTCTAAAGTGTTCGAAGATTTTAGAACTTTGTTTGCATAGCATAAATCTAATGGGGTCTATTTTTGTCTATTTACTCTTTCCTTCATCTTGAATAATTATTGTAATGAAATTCCATTCGAAAATCAATGGGAATTTCTTCTGGGCCACTGCCTTGCCTTTACCCAAAAAATTTGGTAAAACTTTAATTTTTCTTCCTATCATTGGCAACCGTCTATATGGTATGGAGTTTATGAACCGCTGACATGCTATGGCCATTGAAATGGGATGTAATCGTAAGCCATCGCGCTATGGCTTCATCACAGCAGTCTTCCATACTACCACACTATGCCTTAAATGCGGCATAAAAATGTCAATATGCCTATTAATGAGCTGTAGCTGAAGCTGCAGCCTCAGGCCGAATCAAACGGCCGCAGGGGCAAGTCAAAGAGCCACAGGGTGGCTCCACAGGCGAATGAGGATGCTGCAACATGTCCAGTTGAGGACTCCCCACGGAGCAGTCTTCTGGTTGGAAGAAACCAAGAAACCAATGTCAATTAAAAAATAAAAGACCCAAGTACGTGGACAACCTTTCAGCGATATTCATCGGAGCGTCTTTTATCTAGGCGGTCATCTTGATATATTTGTGAGTTTATATCTTTTGACTTTTCGACTCCCCATTTAATGAAATCATGGCTTCGCACTCACCGATATCAAATGCCGTCGTCGTCGGCGCGTTGAGCATTAAGCAACCGCTGGTAATCACCAGCGCCCAGAGGCCGAGCGTCCATCTCCATCGGGGGGTGCGGACTGGAGGGCGGGGAGCAGCGGCTGTGGGTGGTGAGCGGGTTGGGTGGGAAAGGCACTGGCGGGAGAGCATGCTGATGTTGCTGAGAGTCGCTACTTTTGACGACGTGTGCTTCATAGCGGTTATTGTAAAGAGGCAGTGAGATCTGCAATAAATAAAAAATATATGCATATATAAAATCAATCGTTATAAATTACAGAATAAAGCGCCATTCCTGGCTACTTCCAGAAAAAAAACAAAAGTATAAAAAAAAAAGTATATATATGGAATTATTTTCATAATACCCTAATAGCTTCGGGAAGCCGAAGATTATTAACCTGGTAGTTTAAATAATGCCAGTTTTCTGTAAACGTCGTAAGTTTGTATTATTTGTATTTGTATATTAGCTTCGGGAAGCCGAAGATTATTAACCTGGTAGTTTAAATAATGCCAGTTTTCTGTAAACGTCGTAAGTTTGTATTAAAATTATTTTAATGAAATACGACTTTTTGGGTTTATTTCAAAATGAAAATTTGTGTCCCTTTGCTTGAGGCCGTGGTAAATATTTTTGAGTTTTAGTGACTTAGCGACATTCATTTAGAGCCCCGAGATAGAAAATTTTCGTTCCACAATTTAAAAAAAAAAACAAGAAAGGAAGATAGTTTCGGCAAGGCGCAGCTTAACCTAATTTGTACGTTAAAGTATTTTTTGTAAAGCAAAAACAACAAGAAAAATATGAAAAAAATTGATTTTTGACTTTGAAAGAGTGCCTTAACCAGAGTTTTTGAGATATTCTTTGTAAGTTAGGTTCAGAAAGTTTCTACATTATTTCTTAACAAAACAAATTTGGTTTCATAAAAATCGGTCCTACACAGCGACCTGTGGACGATCCGCAGCTGGGCTACTTTTTTTAAAAAGGGCTTGACAAAAAAATTCTCACGGTCAGTTACATGGCCTTTACTACCTTTTTAGTCAATTTATATCCTTAAATATGTTTGGGAGTCATATTTTTAAGGCCACGTATAGACTTGTTTAGCCATTTTAAAGCCATTATTCCTCAAATCAAAGTCAATTATTAAAGTCCCAAAAAGTAATAAAATGTATCTAGAATTTGCAAAGCTGAAAAACATTACTTGTTAAATTCTTTAGAAAGTTGATCAGAACTATTAAAATAATAGGTATTTTTTATAAATGTGCAAATAAATGCTATTTAAATCAATGTAAGCACCGTTACACCTAGTGACTAAGTCGTCCTTTATACACCCAGAAAACAAAATGGACTAAAAAGGGGCCTAATTACCTAAAATTTTAGGAAATATGGCCAGAAAAACGCGCCAAGGCCATGCATTACCTAAAATGTTGTCCATGTGGACTATATTTTGTACGCAGTCTTGAATTTATTTCTGGTAATGGTTACCTAAAAAAATGGCTAGTGGACTAGATTTTTAGGTCAGAATTACCTAAATATTAGGTATTTAAAAAAAAGTTGGATTTTTACTATTGATAGTAACATATTTGATTATTTTTATTGCTTATATTGTATTATTCGGAAAAGCAAATATTTTATCTTTCTGAAAAAACAATCACTTTATTTTGTCCTCGGTGGGAATCGATCCCGGGTCTTCTGCGCGAGAGTCCAATAGGCTAGCCTCTGGTCTACGGAACTACTTAAAGGCCCTGCGGCAAAACCAAAGCCTGCTTCAAGGGGCTCAGGCGAATTCTATTTTTAGAATAGGGCACTATTACCTTAAAAGTAGGAAAATAGTCCACGTAGGTATTGATTTTATATATTGAAACTTTTCCATCACTAGCTTTAAGAAAAGTCTAAAAATTTTTTTACATTAAACTTAAAAAACCGAATAATTTGTTTATTAATATTAGGGACCAATATTTGTATTAAGTTGTGAGTGATAATCGACTTTAAATTATTCCTAAATTTTAGGTCTTATGGACCAATTTGAAGGTTACGATGGCCTATAAAAATCTCTTTAGCTTTACATAAAAAGTAGGAACATAGTCCACATGCTAATATTTTTAGGTAACCCATTACCTAAATCTGAAATTTTAGTCTATTTAAATTTTTTAGGTCATACGTTACCTAAAAAATAGTCCCACATTTCTCTGGGTGTATATACTAAAAGCACCGCTTAACGAGGATAAAAACTAGTGACGATCGCACCTTCAACATACAAAAGTACTGATATCAACTCTTAAATTAATACATTTCCCAAAAATATATCATTCGGCATATCCTTTTCTGACCGAATACCTACACAGGCATTGGTTCTTGCAGCGTGCGAATTAGAAAGTGTATTCTAATGAATAATCATTTATTGTATCAAAGAGATTTAAGACATTTTTTCAAATTTCATTAGAACAATTATTTTATATTGGATTAAAAAATTCACTTTTAAAAATTTTCTAAGCAAGAAACTGAAATAGATTGCTGTGTTACAAACTTTGGCCTGAAATCATAATACTTTTTTCAAAGGTATCAAAATAGTAAAACGTTGGGATGCTAATTAAAGCGCTTAACGCTGAATTCTGGTCTAATTTAAATTCATAAATGTAAGCGATATTGTGGCACCCGTTTAGGTGAAAACTCATAATTCATCTATTTTTCTTCAGCATGTACAGTTTTCACTTCAAGAAAAAGTGCTTAGTTATTGCATCGTTCTGCTTTAACTGTTCTCGAATCAAAAACTTAATTGCCGCCAGAAAGGCCAAAAGCCTGCCAAATCCGCAACAGCCTGAAGTCATCGTCTCCGTTGAATTTTTTCCCGGTCGACTACGGCTTGAATGGATGCAAAGTGAATGTGCGTGACGAGCAGTAGTCAGGGGCGGGAAGGCCGGGGGATGACTTTGTGCTTTTCATTAAACATTATTTCGCAACAATTTCTGCTTGGGCAGACATATGAACAGTGCCAGGAGAAATGCCAAAGAAAGCGGCCACAGCAAACAGACTGCCTGTCATCCTCCGGCTGGTTATCCATTCACCGACGACCAAGCCAGTTTTTGCTTTATTTTAACACCGGCTAGCCGGGGAAAACCGGAGCACAGGGCCACCGGAGCTTCAGGCAGAAGCTCCACGGTAAACTTATTTAGCTTATGCAAAGCGTGCGGTAGAGTTGTGAAAGAGGCCAAAGGTAGGGCGGAAAAAGGCCGAGAAATAATGAACATGCCGCCCGGCCAGTCACCCGGCAAAGGGACATTCTTGGCTCTATGTTTGTGTTTAGTTTGCAAATTTCTTTGATGTCTTTTAATTTTAACGGGCCCGGATTTAGATGAGGTGCCGGCTGTCCTAAGTAAAACTCATTAGGAGCGAAAAGGGGCCGAATTCGGGGAACTGTGGCCTTAGTACCGGAAGTAGGACTCTTCCATATTAGTCGATCGCCCCAGAATTTATCGCATTGCTTTTAGGTGTGAAGCATACGGAATGTGCCTGGTGCCCCGTCTTTGTCGTTCTACTGATTCTAATCTAATAAATGCGAACATCCAGCTTGTTGTTGGGGACCAAAGGTAACCCTATCTGCCTTTCAGGCATGCAAAAAAACCGTCTGCGTCATGTGGCCATTTGTCACGCAGCTGATGTTGCTGGACTGCCAGATACGGACCCCAGTACCAGCTCAAACTGTGCCCAGCCACTCCCCCATGTGTGTGCTTCCCGGCTCTTGTCGATAACTCAGTGCTTAATTGCTCATCTTTCAACGTCCAGGCTCCGTTCCCTGTGGTCCAACAACAAATTGGAAAAACTCTCCGAGACCAGAGAATGCCTCAGAAATTCTGGCTGTCATAGTTGCAACTTGCTGCAGACTCACGATGTAGGTTAAATTAATAGTGACACTCGCCGCTGCACCTGGCGGTGCTTTTTGATATTTGCCTGGCAGGCGGCAAGTTTCCTGCTTTTCGACCCGACGGCAACTTCTGCCTCTCCCGCTCGTATGTTTGTTTGTCTGCATTTTCCACTGGCGAATATTTCATAAATCGAAATGTACAGTTAGTTAATTACACGCTCAATTCGCTCTAAAAAGGTGCATTAGCCGGACTCTGGGACCACAATTTACGGTGCTTCTCGCAGTGAGATTTATCGCATAATGGTCATGTAATCATCATGCGAAGAGAGGATCCAGGGAGACTACTAAAACGATCATGGAAGGTGGCTGAGGTTAGGAATCTTATCCGAAAAGCCGGGAATTAAGAGGTTATCCGAAGTCTTCAATTCCCTATGCTAAATTCCTTGAGGTCTGATGGAAGCGTCATCAATCAAAAAAGTTTCCATTTTAAGTGTCAATATATTCCCAGCGAAACTTCCTTTGCTCCCCCCAATTGACAGTCTCGAAAACTAAAACAAATTGCAGCTCGAGCGCCAAAATTCAAACATCAAACTGTTCGCTTGGCGGACTTCCTGATTAACTTGAAAAGGAGAGGGCTACCGAACAAAGAGGCAAGGCAACTGCAAATTCAGCGAATTACAAAAATACCATAAACCAATTGATTAATTGATGAAGCACTGTTTTCATGGAAACGAATCTGGAGCGAACATCAGACGTACTCGAACATACATACATACATACTCGTAGTAGTAGACCACATGGCCCGACACAATTTGCATAAATCGAAATACAAAAGCGAACTTACTGCACTGGAAATCGGGAGCACGAGATATTTATCTTGCTCTGCCCACGACGCTCCGAGTGTTTGAATAAGTGTCAAATTAAATTGATCAATTAAGCAATTGACGAGCTGGGATGCTTTCGACGGAGTGAAAAACGCAAGCGAAATGCACTGCCGGATTTTCCTGAAGAGGGGTGGGGCTCAAGGCGACTTTGCACAAACAACAAGTGAAGCAAATTGTGCAGAATGGGTCGTATTGGGCTGCGTTAGATGTTCCTGGGGGTCGTAAGTTGGGCGTTGGATGTTGAAGGAGACTCTTGCTGGTGACAATTTCTGTCAATTCAGCGACGCTAATCAAGCCAGAGACAGCACAGCATTTAAACAGGGTGTATTTAGGGGGAGATAGCTGCAGTAGCTGAAGTAGACAAATTGGCTGGTATTGCGGGGGGCGGGGGCGGTAGCTGGGAGCCAAAGACATGCGGGCGAGTTGCGCATCCCAGCAGACAGCCAACGTCATATAATCCATCAGCTCGGTAGACAGTTGCAACAGAA